ATTCCAAAACGAAACACACAAAAAACCCTTAATTGTGAAAAATATCTGGACCAAAGGTTTTGGACAAGGGATTATACATCTGTATTTACCTGTGCATACATACACTATCTTTGGAATGAGTCACAGGAAACTTATCACTCATTCCAAGTAGAGGAACTTTGTGTCTGCGGAGTGGAAAAGAGACTATGTGTATCTTTTTAAATCTTTGAAATTTTTAATCAAAGTGAATGCACTACTACTTAGTCAAAATATAAATTAAATGTAAATAAAATAAAATTAAAACTTTTAAATCTCAATAGTAATAGATGAAGCCATATGCTTTGGGTTTTGTTTGTTTTGACTGAAAAGTGACTCCTTCTCAAGTCACAGGGAAATCTATACAGAGGTAGCTTTCTTTCATCTCACCTTTGGTTGACCCAAATGGCATCTGAGAGTCAGAGAGCCACCCTCTCTGGAGTAAGTCAGGAAATGGTGAGTTTCTACCCCACTAACAACTTTTAAGAAATAGCAACTTCCCAATGTTTTTGATGCCTCCTGCCAAGCAAAGCAGGTGTGTGTGGCTGTTTTTCTTTTCTACTATCCCCAGAAATATGGTGAGAGACAGGCTTGGGCCTCTCAGCACCAGGAAGCAGAGAAGCCCATATTTACCGATATTGGAGAAAGACTGAAGAAAGTTCTCCTAGCATAGATCTAGCCTTAAGTCTTCAGAGCTTCCATATAAAAGAGTTGAGGACTGCAGTTAGTATATGAGTAGCATCTTTTCTACTATCTGCTTTTCATACACTTATTTTCATATCCCGTTGTATTCTAAAATGAATTTGAGATGACTATAAGATTTGCTTTTTCTTATGATTTGGATTTTGACTAATCTGTACCACACTCTCAACTTTAACCTGAAATTGGAAAAGCAGGCATTTTGCTTTCCGCAGTTTATGAAGTGAGTATATTTTAAAAGAGAGGGCAAAGATGTAGATTTGGAAGTCCCCAAATGCTCCAATGGCAAAAGAAACTTCCAACGAAATATTTGTTTCCTCGTGTTAGGACATGAATGCACTTATGATGTTTGTCCTTATCTCCTATCAAGTTATACTCAGATCACTTAAGGGACATAATGACTTCTACTTCCTCTGGCTCCCACATCACTTAGTACCTGGATTGGTATAGAGTGGCTTCTCAATAAATACTGTCTGTATAAAACCAGTGTCTGTCCTCCCAGTGACTGTCCTCAAGAAGAAACAAGAAATTTAATGTACCATTATAACCACAGAAACATTAAACTTAAAAAACTTAGAAAAACATAGAAAAGATAATATTTTTAGGTCTATTAATAAATAATCTTCCTTATTTTTCTGGAGGCAGAAAATGCTCAAGGAATTGTTGTGGTTACCAGGTCTCTGACAAATGTGCAATCTTCAGAGTCAAAGATTCCATTAAGATTAAATTTAAAAGATGTGACAGCATTCCCTTTTCTTCAAGTGTGTTACACGATAAAGCTATTCTCAGCTCCCAGATTCCCACTCGTTTAGATATGGGTCAAAATAAAACTAGGGGGCCGGCCCATGGCTCCCTTGGAAGAGCGTGGTGCTGACAACACCAAGTCAGGGTTAGGATCCCCTCACCGGTCATCGTTTTAAAAATAAATAAAAATAAAACTAGGAAAGCTTAGGCAATTCTCTGCTGTGGGAAACGGTAAGAAATGGTGAAAACAAGTCTGTATCAGAGAATGTGGCAAATACTTTCCCCTCAATATTTGCTTTTGGAACATTTCCAAATTTTAAACCAAAGAGGATTACTGGTCCAAATGTTAAAATAAATCATCTCAGTCAATTCAGATTAGATGAGATGATCAAATTTTAAATAAACTGCTCAAAGATGCAGAGGAAAACAACTAGTATTATCACGGAGAATTAGAATGTATGGTGTACATCAAATTGGTTTTAAATTTATGTGGCATTTTGCATTTGTTCAAAGTTAAAAATAAGTGATAACAATAGCTAAAATTTCCTGAATACTTACATCTACAATTCCAGGCACAGTACCAGTGCCAAGCACTTTATATACAGTACCTGATTAAAACCTCACAGCCCTATGAGGTTATGAGCTAATATTATTCTCATCTGACAGATAATAAAACAGGACCAAATATGTTATATAACACGAACTAGCCTTCACAACATAGTTAGTTAGATTTGCAGCATGGATTGGAACTCAGGGCTGACCCTAAAGCTCAGGCTAGCAGTCACTATGAGGTATGTGTTCCTTAACTTTCCTAAGAATTAGCAGATTTTAACCAAATCTAATATACTACTAAAGGGTAACAGAAGACACAGACATCTACTATATTTGTGATATAACCCACCACCTTAATTAAAAGAATGGCAGCTAGTAAGTTTTCCAAAAGGCCACACACACACACACACACACACAGTTTTAAAAACTGGATTTCAATGAAATTTGGCCTGTCAAAGACATGCAGTGAGCTTTTGTTTGTTTGGGGAAGACCTCTCACACACCTTTTAAAAGAACATAAATTCACTGTTTAGATATGCCTTAAGTCCCATCCTTGATCAAAAGCTTCTTAGAAGCTAATCAATTCCTCATTTTCACATATTCCACAAAGTCTCTGAGAGCACTAAATCTCATTAGAAGGCATGGTGCTGTGGAATGAATAAAGTCTACCATTCAAAGAATCTCTAGCTTACAGTGAAGATTTTACTTGTTTTGTAAGTCTGGGTATTAGAGACAAAAATTAATTCTTAACAATTTTCTCTGCTTCCCCAAATCATAAAAGTCTAACTTTGATTGCTGTATTTGATCCAGGCTTCTGATTGCCACCCAAAAAAGGACTCTTTTTTTCCCAGTATGTTTTCTGAAGAACCACCTATCTGGGAAACAACCCTTCTATTTAAAAAAAAAAAAGAAAGAAAAAAGAAAAAAAAAAAGAGTTCTGACAGCCTCTCTTTACAAGTTTAAAGCCAAAACGGTTAAGCAACTTGCCTAAGGTTCCAGAGCTTGTTCAAGACAACATCCAGATGACAGAACTGAGAAGAGAACCTAGGTCTAATTCCTGGACAGTTCTAGTTCCATCTACTGCCCTGAATGATAGGACAATGCTTATTTCAATGCTCTTGTCATCCTTTAAGTAGTAAATTCTGTTGAATCAGAACTCATTTCTGAAATAAAAGTTCAAGTTAACCTGCATTAGAGTAAGAATGTAAAGCTTCTAAATTTTCAGGTAAAGAGCTCATGACTAAGACAATAAGCATCACAGCTCACTGAAATAGGCAAATGGTTCATCTCTAAAGCTATGTGGTTCTAATGACTTCCTTGCACTCCATGAATCAGAAAGGCTACTACCCATACCATTGACTTGACCAGAAACCTCTAGAGAGCTGGCATCTTAAGGTCACACATTGTTTTATACTTCTATACATGCAACAAAGCATCTCAACCATCTATATGACTCAAATATGTCAAAACTCAATTCACTGGCAAAAGAGACCAACAAGAAGCAGACTCATGTTCAACAACCTCTTAATTACCCCTCGAATAGTTTATGACTAGTCATTTAACAACAAATTACTTCAAGTTGTTTCACTGAGGATCTAGCATCCTCATTAGGTCATTTCCATAATATTAGGCATGGAGCAAATAGCTAAGATTCTAACCACATTAATTTTGGTACAATTTATTCTGACACTACTTCCTTTCCAAGTTGCACTCCCCCAAAGGGCTATGTTTTAGCCCTTTTCAAACTCACTAAAGGAACATATCTACTAACAGAATCAGCGCTATCTCTTCCTTTAAAACATAATTTAGAGTGGAATTCGGAGTGACTGCTAATGGGTATGGGGTTCCTTCTAGGGGTGATGACAATGTTCTGGAATTAGACAGTGGTAATTGATGCACAACTTTGTGACTATACTAAAAACCACTGAGATGTACACTCTAAGAGTGTGAATTTTAAGGTATGTGAATTAAATCTTAATAAAGCTGTTTTTTTTAAAACAGTGGTAATTGATGCACAACTTTGTGACTATACTAAAAACCACTGAGATGTACACTCTAAGAGTGTGAATTTTAAGGTATGTGAATTAAATCTTAATAAAGCTGTTTTTTTTTAAAAAAAACAAAACAAAACAGAATTTAGAAAACAACACAACTCTGGTTCTGCATATAGCCTGCCTGTGAGCTATTGCCAAAGGATTTTTATCAGTAACCCTTACTGGAATCTGACATACCTTAACTAGGTAAAGCAATAAAAGTTTGACGTCTCACGATTTTCATCCCTTACCTTAATAAAGTTTCATTTTCTTATTTCTTCATTTCTACTTTACATCAAATAATAATAAGTTCACCTCCAATTCTTTCATATCCAAAAGAAATGCTAAAATGTATTAAGTAGTGAATGGAAAAGAGGTGTAACTTGGATAGATCAATATTATTTTGAGTTTTTGGCCATATTTAGGCAAATAGTGTTAGTACAAATTAGCACTTAATATTAAACATTTCTAATAAACATTTCTGAAATGAAATATTTCTAGTAAAACATTTATGCAGCTTGTTTTCCTTTGTCCTACATTTCCTACTTAAAGGAGTCACCAAAAGCCTTTCAAATATTCACAAAAGGATAAATGTAATCATTTTACACCCCTACTAAAATACCACTATATATGTGTCTGTATGCATGCATGTACATATATGTATACACACACACCCCACAATCTACCTTACTTTATTAATCACATTAATAAATATTTAGGTAAGGTATTATTTTAGGATACTGAGTGGTCTAGAAGTGATTGCTAATGAAGTGATCCAAAAGTCCCTGTCATCATAAAAGATAATGTATATGAACTGATTATTTAGCCATCTGGAAATGACAGTTTGCGTGAAAGTTCATGGAGAACATTAAAAGTTGTCTTTTTTTAAATGCTTGATTTTAAATATTACCAATTATTAAGAGATTTTCATCAACCCAACTTTTATTGAACACTTACTATATTCCAGGCTAGGTGGTGGAGAAACAGATGCAACACAGGCCTGCCCTCAAGGAAGTCCCATTTTGATTGCTTGCTTTTGTCAGGCACAGCACTAAACATGTTCACTTACAGCATCTGACCTCCTAGGTTTAACGTTAATCACAGCTGGGGAATCTGAGGTAACCATTATAAATGACTGAGGCTGTAAGACTGGAAAAAATAAAATTTAGAAATAAACAAAAGCTGTTGCATATTAGGACTAAATTTAACTCTACTTCGTAATATAACATTACACTTGAACTTCTAGAGTTACTGCTAAAAAACAGTAAAATGACCCGAAGAATAACTACACCTTCCTTAACACACGTCACTTACATCATGGTCTCATTTAAAGACACATCCATTAAATTTCAGTCAAATCATCTTCTTCTATTAAAGAATATTTCTCTTTACCTTCAAACCTGTCCATTTGGGTACAGTACCGAATAGTTCCTGAATGAATGAATGAAATAAACAGATGTTCTAATCGCCAAGGAGGTACTTGCTGGATGCTTATCTCAAAACACAATGGACAGACCAGAATTCTACTGGAAAGACAATGAATTTCAGAAGTAAAAATAGCCACTGAACATTGTCTGATACCAGGTAGTCAACATCTTATTAAATTCACAATAAAAAAAGATAGGGAATTTTAAGAAATGAAAATGTGAAATGTTCATCACAGAACTTTAAAATGGACTTGGTTCTACCATCTCTGGATCGGGAACACAAGTGCATGACCAAGAGTTGGGAGGGTGGGGTGAAAAGTCAAAAGGTCACCACCGAGTGACCCTCAAGAGAAATGAGTGCCTTAAGATCTGGCCGAGCTTGATGGCCACCTCCCGCCCAAGACAGGGGCCTGGGCTCTCCTTCGCAGCCCAGAGCTAGAAGCCACCACAGCCTTTTTCGGCGCTGCTGCCTGCGTTCTCCCTGAACGTTAGCACAAAGAAACCATCGAGAAACAGAAGCCGGTCCCCGTGGGCGCCGGGAGGGCTAGGGGACCTGCCAACCGGCGCGCCCTCCCCGGCTCCCCGCCGCCCGGGGAAGCAGCCAGGGCGCGGCGGGCCGCGGAGGCGCCTCAGTCCCGATCTTCGCCGAAGTATTTTAGAACTTGCCTCCCGCCCCCCGCTCTATTTTCTCCTCTCGACGTGGGAGCGGGACCGCACGAGGAGGGCGCGCGAGG